CTTTTAGCAAGTACCTAGGCTGTTAGTATGGTAAGTTACAACGTCAATGTATGGCCAGTGTCCACTAGAAGATCTTTGCCTTGTTCAAATTTCTTCCGGGAAAAATGTTTCAATTTACGTTTTTGTCTATAGGTGGGGCTACTGCGCGCTGGCAATAAGGGAACATGTAGAAAACCCAGTAACCTTTACAGCGAATCATTTAGACCCACCCCAAACCGGTAGGATATATTTTGATATATCTGCCAAACCTCCTAATAAGGATATATTTTACCCAGAAACGTAAATACGCAAGAAGACATTACAGACAATTTTAATCACTCTATAAAAGTTTGGGTTGATCGATCAAGTACACAAACAAAAAAATGACCGAACGAGATATTATGGCGGAATTTATCTTAATCAATGTCATTGCTTAAAACTGGATATATACAAATTAAATTTCAAAGAGGGATATGTCACAGTTCGGTCGAATTTTGTACTCATTCTTCCCGGAGCCAGCTATAGGCTGAATCAATAAAGATGAAAATGGATTGGTTAACATGGACCACAGTACCGCTTCAAAAACAATGGCTTATCGTCCCTAAATTCGACAAAAGTCATGCTTGTTTGACAAAACAATGTATTCATATAAGCGATTCCCACACACAGCTTAATAAAGTGAACCGAACGGGACATTAACCTAAACGCTTTGGCTGATATTTCAGATGGAATAGCAATTAGGATCATGACAGTTTGCCTGAGAACAAATGATGATGGGCTCATACGTCCTCTAGACTTCTACGTGCTTTTTTAACGACGCGAATATCTGATGTCCAACCTGAGTGTGAATCTGAAACCCCGGCTAGTAAACTATTCGCGTCAAGGTCTCAATTAACCACATATAAAGTACTAAAGGTTTACTACATCACAAATATTTATACGCTGATAAACGGCAACCTTATCCTTAACTAACTGCCTGCATTTCCTGTTTTAAGTGGAAGTCTGTCAAACGGTGGAATGCATAGCAACCTCCCAGAAGATACTGAGTGGTATGAACTTCAGCGTGGATCCCTGCACCGACTTCTACAGCTACGCCTGTGGCAACTGGATCGAGAACCATCACATTCCCCCGGGCACGAACAGCTGGACAGTCTTCTCCGAGCTTGCGCAAACGGCCGAATTCTTTGCAAAAGAACTCTTAGGTAATCTTTTGTTTTTGCGAATCACCCCTTCCTCCCCGCGCCTATTTTCTATATTCCCTCCAAACCTCGCAGTTGGGATTTTACACAACAGCGTGGCTGTCTTGTACAGCTACGGCGCGAAGTCTTTGGAGCTGCGTAAAATAAGCGATATTAAGAGGCGTATTGTATTGTACTTGTGAAACCCCCATAGGTACACCACGTCACAGTGTCGCCCTTCAGTATTATCTTTCGTGTTTATCATTCCTCGATGAAAACGAAGAGGTAGGGCAATTTTTTGGAAAAAAACCAATTCATACTAACGTACCACGTGAATTCCGGTTGTAGCATCGGCCTCCTGTGGCTTTTATTGCCCGTCCTGTATGAACTGACTTAAGCGTCTTGTAGGCAGCATATAGTTCCATGGTTCGTTTAGTAGTGCCGATTGAGGATCAACTTTTTTCATACTTATGAACGTAATGTCTTCATTAACAAATAGGCAAGCACCCTCTTAATGTTCTCAAAGGACGAGCTATCTGAGTTCTAAGATTGTTCGTCATTATCACCGTACTATATGCCTCAGCTCCCAAAACGTTGTTGACAGCAGGTTCAGCAATTTTCCTTTTGACTAACAGGCCGAATTCACCTAAACGTTTCCAATTTAGTTAACAAACAGTACTGTTAATTTGATCTCATATAAAGATGTTCTATTAGGTCATATCAGACACGCAAGATGTGAGCCAAGTTTGTAAAGCTCTACCTACCTACTTATTTGGCTTATAGCCGTCAAAACTGTCACACATTCACGGCTTACTGACAAGGTATCTTAATGAGTTAGGCATTGTAATTCCGGAGGTAACTGAAAGTTACGGCCTGCTTCATTCCTGAAAGCCGCGCATTGCTAACTGGGGGATGATAAGTAAAAACAGACACGGACGACAACTAGTTGTGTAGACTTCGGACAAATACTCTCCTAAAGTACGGCCATCGTTTCTTCGTTGCTTCAGACGTTACTGAATCGCCTTTGGTTTGCCGGTAAGTGCTAACCCCGTCCGTTAAGTGGGTTTATAGTTTCTAATATTTCCTGTAATTCGCTGAAAACCGTTTGTTGGCTATGGCAGGTAATTAACGTTTGTTTTTAATTCCAGTATCCACAAGCAATTGGGCGACATTGAGATAGTTAAAGGTCGCTTGATGGAAAATGAAAGACACAGCACAAATGAACCTTGACAGTTCATTCTTCATATGCTTTCAGCCGTGTTACTGCATCCCTTGCACGTTTGAACTTGGACCCGTTTAAGGTTGCATAGACTACCAAGTTTCAACTAGTTGTCTTGATTGATGAGTAGTAAATTTTCGCCGTGCTGCCTTAGACTGCCTAAGAGAAATTTAAATGGAAATCTCATAGGTAGAAGCAATAAAGTTCAAAAGGACAGAGTCAAAATATCCGCAAAGTTGGTCGGATAATTTCCAGCTTCTCTTCCATTATCTAATCCCAAAGCTCTCCCCACTGCTGGGAAATCTGTAATTTGCGGCTAGAATCCATCACTCAGCAGCGAATATCCTCGCACGCTTATTAGATTATGATATAATTTGTGTGAAAATCTAATAAGATGTGCGCGACCAATGTTGCGTGCGTGAGGCATTTAGAGGGGCTATTGGCGTTTAGCCGTGAAATAGTCAATTCAACGCATCAGATGACTAGCCAGCGCGGACAGGAGACTGGCTAATAAGAAAGGAAATAGCGGTTGAGATCAACGCTGGGGACTCTGTTTTCACCGAATTTTAGCGCGTTTCTCTTTAAGGTTGAATAAACGCGCTAAAAGTCGTGGCTTGGAAGGCTGCCAACTGAAGATATAACTGGGTCCTCTCAGGATCCACAGATAGACTCCAACCGATCCCTGTCAAAGCGGCCTCCATAGGATTCTCACTAGAGTAGGGTTAGAGTCGTTCCTTTTCGTGGGTCGCAGGTCCAGGTCCTGTGTAGCATACGTCGAAAAGCTATTGAGCCCTGTCAGTCGCTGCGTCCACTCGGGCATCCGCTCGTTCGGACTAAGTCTGGTAACCGGGGTCCGGTGAATGAAGAGGGAGAGACTGCAGCGGATGCCCCATATGTCTAATATAACTATAACATAATTAATATCGTAACCTACCATACTAACAGCCTAGGTACTAGCTAAAAGGCTCGGACACGTATTTTGTCGGTATTCTGCCGCTGCTTGACAAAGCTGCGAAGGGTCCGGCTCAGCAGTTGGTCCCCCAGCTTCCTCTGTCTGCTTTCTGGTTGACATACCGGTTTTGAAAGTTCAGCTTTAATAATTTCCTGAGAAATTAGTTTCTGTTCGCGGTATCCATCAGTATATTTAAGGTCTATAGGCGTAGACCAAAATTGTTAGTGTACAGTGGTCGCCGTTGGCCACGTAATTTTCCTTAATTTGTATTAGTTTGATCATTACTCCAATACCAGT